GAGGTGTAGCTTTCCGTAAGTACAGAAGTGAAACGTCTTGGTGTGATACGCTTGTCAGCCACTAGACGGAGCCCTCAGATAAAAGAAATAATCCGGAGACCACCTTTAATTGAACACTGAGCTCTGTGTTAAAATAATTAACCTATTCAAATATTTTCTTTCCCTAGTCTAAATGTTGATATTTAAACAGAGCTTAATATGGAATAAAACAATAAAATGACATTGCAGATTATTTAAAGTCTTTATATAAATCATAAAATGTGTGGCAGGTGTATTATCCCATATGCTTAACATGTGTTGAGAAACATCTCATCACTCTTGCAGCTGTCAGCTTCCCTAAAAACATGCCTGACCCAGAAATGGAGTGCCGCTGGAGGCAGAATATGTGGAGCAGTGTGTGTGTGTGTGTGTGTGTGTGTGTGTGTGTGTGTGTGGTTCCCAACATAGAAATGGGTGGATGTCCCTGACAAGTGTGTACTGATGCTGTCTGCCCTGCTTCACATATTTATGAATAACTCTGCCTCAGGATTAATGGAAGTGTGTCAGCTGAGCGAGAAAGGATGGCACCAGATCCGTAGTCTGATCTTAACGTGATCGACCAATAAACAGAGAACACAACCTTCAAACAGAATCTGCAGCCAGCAGGACTTTAAATGTGAACCCACTTCTCTGACATGACGTGTACATGATGGATGCGTGTGTGTGTGTGTGTGAGAGAGAGCGAGAGAGAGAGAGAGAGAGAGAGAGAGAGAGAGATAGGCTATGACAGCAGATCTCAGCTTAGTTACATTTGTTTTGACTAAAGGAATTAAATTTACCCTCCTGAGTAAAAAAAACCAATCGACAACCTGACAGTAATGTGGCAGGAACAACCTAAATAAACAAATGGAATTTCATTTGTTTTGCTGACGAGTTTAAGTTGGAATGTGACCCATTCTGGTCTGATCCGACCTAATTCTGATGATAGTTCACCTAAAGACGTTTAGCCCCGATAAATAAATGTGTGTCATTTACACAACAGCTGTTATTAAACACCTTCAGTGTCTGCAGCAGGCTTTCCCTCCTCTGACTGACGGTCACGCTGGGGCGAAGTTCTGGTCCAAACCGGATTCAATACTTAGATCAAGATTCTTCACTTTTTAAAATGTTTCTTGTTCGTTTTATGAAGCCCTTCAGGCAACAGCTGTGTTTTATGATTTATGTCCTCTCATTTCCCTTGAAATAATTAGGTAATAAGGGTTTCAATTCTCTAATTCAAGACTTCTGTGCAATTCAGAATCCAGTGTCTGTCTTTTAATCTGCAGGTGTCGAGCTACAAAACCACAACTCAGAAACATGCAGCCTGGGAACGTTTCTGATTTGTGGTTAGTTGCTCAACCACTTCTCCGGTGTTTGTTCTTTGCTTCATCTCTCTCTGTCTCTTCCTGTTCCATCAGCCCAACCCGTGGAGGCAGAAAACCACCCTGCTGGAATCTTTCTTTGAGTTAAATAAGTCATCTTTTTCTTCTAGCTGCCACCAACTGCGGCAGTTCCAGAGAAACCACCAGGTTTAACTTCATGCTGCATGTCCTGAGACAGATTTTAGTTCTAAAAGGGCCATTATGAGTAGAAATGATCTAAAACTGAATGCATCTGTTTTCCTGCAGTGTGTCAGTTTCATTTTCTTAAAAATAAAAATTAGAAGCATTTTAATAACAAAAAGCCAAACCTGTTCTTGAAATTTGGGGAAATTGAGGAGGCATTTGGAGTTTCCTTTGATTTTGGACAGCTTTGTTGTTTAACTGTGATGTTATCAGTCTTAAAATGCAGCCTCAGAAGGATGCAGCCCCTGGATCTGGACACAGCCGGTGTCTGTTTTCCCTTGTAGCTAGATTTCTGAATGGCCTCTGTTTGGGTCCTACATATGAATGCTCGAAATTGTTAAATTTTTTTTTACCAATATCCCGATATTGTCTAATACTAATATAAACCTATACCAATAAAAATGAAAACTGAGAACCTTTTAGGTTACTAACGTCTCATATCTCCTATCAGGCATGCTTACGTTTTAAACATTTTCTGTCCTAAATGACAACTACTTCCATTTAAGCTAATAATAGAAAAAGTGACAAATTTATTTTGTCTCCCAACAGCAGCTGCATCTCATTCTTTCTAAGCGTGATGCTGTTTTCATTAGTTAGCTATGTATTTTTATTTTTCTGTATGTTGCAGTTCCATGGATAAAACATTTATAAAGATCTTCAGATCGGAAAAGCAAGCCTCGGCTGAAGGTTCTCATTTTAGCGGTTTGTTAGCCGACTAGCTACATCTAGCTACGAGCTCTAAGGACAGCGCACATTTACTACCCAGGGCAAATTTCAACTCCACAAGTTGTGCCACATAGACTAAAATATCTCCGACTTTACCTCAGATCTGTTATATTTTGACATTTAGCAAGAGAGGAGAAGTTATGTGTCTGGTATGAAAAAGTTGGGTTATTAAAAGACTGAATACCAATACCGATTTTAAATTTTAATGCCAATATTAATGGTAGAGTGATAATTTAGAACATCCCTAGTCCTACAGGACATGTGAGCTAACTGCTAGTCCATTATTATGTTAAAAAGAAAAACATTCACAAGAACAGGTGGGAAATGGAGATGTCTATCTACGTTGTACTAGCTGTAAGCTCGGCTCGACTCGGTTCTACTCCACACGGTTTGGGAGGTTTTCCATAACATTTGAGTTTATATAGTTCTTTTTGTTTTCTATTTGTTGCGATGAGACATTCCCCTCAGAATACAGACTTGTTCCAGTTGTTGCCACCTGTTCAGCCCACTCTGGTACCCAGCTGCAGCTCTCACCCCTACAGCATCTTCTCATTAACACGAGGGAAAACTTGCTGTTTGAATGGCTTTCATAAAAAGAGGAATTATTAATCAGTCTGAGTGAGGAACCAGGTTGAGTAAGGAAACAAGGATGTACCTCGAAGTACAAAACATTTAAACATCTTTTGATAAAGTAACTTTACTACTTTAGTGAATTAATTTGACCTAAGAAAAAGAAAAATTATAGAACTTGGGTCATAAAATGCAACAATCAGCCCCAAATGAAGTAGTGGAAAACAAAGCAAATAAAACAAAAATACATTTCTGGTGCGACTGTGACTAGTGTTGCCAGATTTTATCGCTTCTCCTGGTTCGTTCCAGTTGTACTCGATACTTGGAAATTCCAATTTCTGAATAGGAAAAATCCACTGGAACACCCCCAAAGTCAGAGAATGTTTATTAATCCGACTTCAAGGTTAAATATAGCAGCTCCTTGTAATAACAACAGTAGCTGCAGTCAAAACGTGTTTATTTTACAGGATAAACTTGTAAGGTTGCATGTAAAATCAATGTTACATGTAGTTGTATTTTTCCCCAAGGTAAACAAAATTCATCATGAGGTCGGTTCTCAACGACATAGAAATTAAAGAGTGAATGCTACATCGACCACTACTGCCTATGGTGGCCACATTATTTATCATTTCTATTGTTAACAGAATATTTTAGCCTCGGCTTTAGCTCCATGGAAATGTGGAACTACACGTTCACTTTAACGTTCATCCAACAAAATATGAGTGAGTTTAACTCACGTTCACAAAAAATATGAACGATTCACGAATAATTGTTCAATGAACTCATTCAGACACAACACGGGTCAAAGAGAGAGGTGTACCTGAAATTCGAAAAGTAGGGCCAGATTTCCTGACACACAAACAACACAACAGTAAAGGACGTTCTTTTTTAAAGACTCCAATAAAAAGAACCAGAAAAAGGAAGCAAGGTGGAATTCTGGAGAAACCAGTGACTCCAACCCCTCGCCAATCAGTGGCCAGCAGCCTTTTGTTTTGGGGGCAACCACAGACCAGTTACGAACCAGCCATGCTGATCAGGTGCCAGTGGCACAGAGCCATAAATCTGGCTATACTCACCCCCAAATTCCACTACCTCTGCTGCGCTCCGCTCCGGCACGAACTCCGGAGCAAAATCTGTCCCGTTGTAGTCAATCAGAGCAATTCCACTTCTGCAGCCATGCTGCGGCAGTGCGGCGCAGTGCGCCGCCCTCTGTTCCGGCGTCCGGCAAAAATAGAATCGATCCTATTTTTGCCGGACGCCGGAGCACCTCCGCAGTCAATGAACAGGAATCACAACCGCCCAACAGGAAAGGGAGCAAGCACAACTTCCGTTTTTTCACAATAAATCGATAAACAAAAAGCGTTTTTTGTTTCATATGCACAGGTTTAACAACTTTTAACAACTATCAATGGCGGCTGAACTTTAAATGCACAAAAGTAAGCCATAAATACAGTTTCTACTATCAAAGTAGTCACACTTTGTTGATCCAAACACTGCTGATCTCTCAACACAAATGATGGGCAGATTAAACAGTTCATGCCGATGCTTCTCCCACACAACGGGTGTTTGGATCTAACTTCCGCGTTTATTGCTCGGACTGTATCGCAAGATCTTGAAAATCCCGCGCATGTCTGTTTGCCCACCTCAGGTCTCTGCACCGGAGCTGAGCCGTTGTAGAGCGGGTACCAGTAAAAATTGAGTTCGGAAGCGAGCGGCTGCGGAAGGCGGGGGCGGAGCGGAGGTAGTGGAATTTGGGGGTCAGACAAGCTGTCCGCTCATGAGTAATAAGAAACAATTTCTCTGAGGCCACTCTTAGAGCTACCTAAAACAAGTAAGATACTGATGATAACTTTTGCACAGAAAAAAAAAATCCCTTTGAGCACTGCATCTTTTCAGCCTCGGTCATCAAATGCAGAAGGAATAAAAACGGAATGTTTGGAGAAAATAACAGAACAAACTCCCAGAGCCATACGATGAATTCAAAGTTTTAGGACCTGAAACGAGATGGTTTATGGTGTGGAAGTGTGACTGAGATGAGGTGGGGCGTAGACATGTTGACGGGTGGGACAAAGAGTAAAATAGAGGGTTGATCTTTACTGTGGGTGCTGGTGGAGGCCTGACCTCTAGTAGTGGGCAGCATATCAGAGAGGCCCTGCCACGCCGTCACCATCTCTGGGTTCTTCTGGTCTGCAAAGTTCTTCCACACACGCAGCGCTCCGTCGTCTGGATAAGAAAATGCAAACATACATGACTAACAGAAAGAGCAAAGATAATGCTGCAGCACTTGAACAAGACTCACAAATACTCAACATTTTTCCTAAAATGCACCACATCCAGTTAGAGGAAGCCGAATCTTAAAAAAAATCTCTTTCCCTGAAAGCATCGAGTCAGGAACTTCCTCCTAAAACGCTCCGTAGCTCCAACTCAGCTAAGAGCTAAACATAAAACACGTCCATCCACTCTCATGAGAAAGCTATTACCAGCCATAAAAGTTTCCACTTGATTTATGTTCCATGTTGTACTTTTTTAATGCTGTTTCTTTATAAGTAATGGTATCCTTCCAGCATGACTGATGGAGAAAAGCTGAATAAGTGCACATTAGGCCTTGATGAGATGGAATTAAAATGTATTAATCCCAGAGCGTTTTGTCAGCGTGAGATGTGCAGTAAAACGCAGCATTTATTCTTAGTTTAACTTTATGCCGTGAAGGCTGAACAAAATAAATGGGTTTTAATGCAGAACGGTTTGCTACAGAATCCTGTATAATGAAGATAAAGCAAAGGGAGATAATTGCTTTGTTTTATTGATGAGGAAAACACACGAGTGCATCTGCTACGAATACGAGCGCCGGCGAGCTGCAGGCAGAAATATCAGGACTCAGACCAATCGAATCCATGCCAGTTAGCCGTTCCAACCTGTAGCAGTGAGCAGTAGCGAACAGTCGTGTCCGTTCAGGTACTCCATGGCTGTGATTCGTGTGTAACGAGGGTTTCCATTGTAGAAGTAATCCAGCCTCTCACCCTTCTCCCAGTCCCAGAAGCTGGAAGGAACAAACTCATTAGAACAGGATCTGTGTCAGATCCGAGGAAATCAGGCGAGACACGGAAGCCTCTTCATCATATTCGCGTTTGTTTATTGCACGTCTCAGACTGTGAGTGTGTGGTGTCTGACCAGATGCTGTCTTTGTCCGCCACGGCGATGCAGGTGTTGAAGGGGTGAAACTTCACTACCGACGGAACGCCAGGGTTCCGGTTGATGAATATTTGATCATCCAGACGAGAAATGCCTGTAATGAAAGAGACACAACTGTAAAACATTTAAAAAATGGGACTTCTCACAATAAAAAGGCACATGTTGAACTCCTGAGTTGGTGCCAGAAGAAGAGCTGAATAAATAATTCCTCGGGTTGTGAAGATGTGCCGGTTCTGTAAATGTTTCACGGTTTCCAGGAAAAGGCCCCAGCACCGCTGCTACTTTGCCCTAAATAAATATATGCATGATGTAGGAAAGTATTCATTTGTGCTTCAGCTGGAGTTTATTCCTCGTCTTCCTTCTGATTTGCTGAATCCGATATAATTTAGCCAATCTGCATTAAACTGGCGCTCGTCAAGCTGCGAGGCTGGTTCTGCTTCTCCAAGCAGAGTTCAGCTAGTTTAGTGTTTGTAAAAAGTGACTATTACGTTTACAGCCCTCAAGGCTGCACTCACCCCCGTCCTCCCTTTATTAACTGCAGCAATGTCATCTGCAAAATTCAGATGTTTGACATATGGAGGAGCTGTTAACCAACTGGGAGCGTCTGACCTGCATAAAACATTAGTTTGGAACCTGGAGATCAGCTGAAACACCCAAACGTGATATCATTTGGGTCTCCAGCTCACTGACTGGTTTTTACACTCCACTGAGGAGTTCAGCTGCTTCTGGCGATCAGTCACATCCCAGAACTTATGACACAAAGCCTGTGATCGTGGTTCATCCATCCCATCTCTGAACCTTTTCTATCAGAGTTGGTTTAGACTCTTAGGGATTCTAAAGAACAGAAGGTAACTGGAATTCCTTTGTTGGGTTTTTGGAAATCAAATGAAGACATCTGAAAAGTGAAACAACTTCAGGAACCAACAGATAATTGACTATCTTCTGCTTTAACGCCAGGGGTGTAACGGTTCAAGGGGAGTGTTGAACCGTTTCGGTTGAATTTTCCATTAAATAATGAATTTTTATTTGCGTGATTTAAGTGCGGTGGATAAAAGTTCCTAGGTGAGTTTCCGCACAGACGCTGTACTGACTGACGCATGATGGCTGCATGCGCGGGATCTCAGTTTATAAAAAGTGATCTGCACATTCTGATCAACGCCTTTCAGAACGGATCAAACCGGCTGGCTGTCGCTGCTGATGTGGAGCCTGTAGACACTGAGCAGAGCGTCGCTTCGCCCCTCCCTCCCTTCTCTCACACTGCAGGCACACAGCGGCAACAATTTTAAAACATGTCTGCTGAACTTTCCCCCTGTGACAACTGATGTAAAGTTTTCATCCTACAGCAAAAAAATACGACGCGGAGGAAGCTCGTTATTTAATACGAGTTTTAAAGAAGAAACTCGGGGCGGTGTGAGGTGAGGTTTTAAGAATCGCTGCAGAAATAAAAACAGAAGCATCAACAGTAAAACAACACTGGTCTGTATAGGCGTGCCACTCATAGCTGCACAAATAACTAGATCAGCAGCCTGTGATGACACCTGGTTCTCGTCGTCGTCGTCTTCCTCCTCTTATCCGGGTCCGGGTTGTGGGGGCAGCATCCCAACTAGGGAGCTCCAGACCGTCCTCTCTCCGGCCAGCTCCACCAGCTCCTCCGGCAGGACCCCAAGGCGTTCCCGGACCAGATTGGAGATGTAACCTCTCCAACGTGTCCTGGGTCGACCCGGGGGCCTCCTGCCGGCAGGACATGCCCGAAACTCCTCCCCAGGGAGGCGTCCAGGAGGCATCCTGATCAGATGCCTAAACCACCTCAACTGACTCCTTTCGATCCGGAGGAGCAGCGGTTCTACTCTGAGTCCCTCCCGAATGTCCGAGCTCCTCACCCTATCTCTAAGGCTGAGCCCGGCCACCCTACGGAGGAAACTCATTTCGGCCGCTTGTATCCGCGATCTCGTTCTTTCGGTCATTACCCAAAGCTCATGACCATAGGTGAGGATTGGGACGTAGATCGACCGGTAAATCGAGAGCCTGGCTTTCTGGCTCAGCTCCCTCTTCACCACGACAGATGGGCTCAGCGTCCGCATCACTGCAGACGCCGAACCAATCCGCCTGTCGATCTCCCGATCCCTCCTACCCTCACTCGTGAACAAGACCCCGAGATACTTAAACTCCTCCACTTGAGGTAAGACCTCGCCCCCGACCCGGAGTTGGCAAGCCATCCTTTTCCGGTCGAGAACCATGCTGTCAGATTTGGAGGTGCTGATCCTCATCCCAGCCGCTTCACACTCGGCCGCGAACTTACCCAGCAAGAGCTGAAGGTCAGAGCTGGATGAAGCTAGGAGGACCACATCATCCGCAAAAAGCAGAGACGAGATTCTCCTGCCACCAAACTCGACACACTCCACACCACGGCTGCGCCTAGAAATTCTGTCCATAAAGGTAATGAACAGAACCGGTGACAAAGGGCAGCCCTGGCGGAGTCCAACCCTCACCGGGAACAGGTCCGAGTTACTACCGGTGCTCCGCCGCTGTGTAGTTGTTTGAATACCTCAGCAACTTCTGCCCCAGAGATTGGACAGTCCATCCCAGGTCTCCCGGCTCTGGTTCCTCCTCGGAATGCGCTTAGGTGGGATTGAGGAGCTCCTCAAAGTATTCCTTCCACCGTCCGACTATAGCCTCAATTGACGCCAGCAGCTGCCCATCCCCACTGTAAACAGTGTGAGCAAGTTGCTGCCTTCCTCTCCTGAGGTGCCGGACAGTTTGCCAGAACCTCTTTGGCGCTGATCAATAGTCTTTCTCCATGGCCTCACCAAACTCTTCCCATGCCCGAGATTTTGCCTCGGCAACTGCCACTGCTGCACCCCGCTTGGCTATCCGGTACCTGTCTGCTGCCTCTGGAGACCCACAGACCAGCCATGCCCTGTAGGCCTCTTTCTTCAGCCTGACGGCTCCCCGACCCTCTGGTGTCCACCAGCGGGTACGGGGGTTGCCACCACGACTGGCACCAGCCACCTTGCGACCACAGCTAGCAACAGCCGCCTCAACAATCTCAGAGTGGAACAAGGCCCACTCGGAGTCAATGTCCCCCACTGCTCTCGGGACGCGGTCAAAGCTCTGCCAGAGGTGGGAGTTGAAGACCATCTTAACAGGTTCTTCTGCCAGGCATTCTCAGCAGACCCTCACTATGCGTTTGGGTCTACTAGGTCTACGCGGCATCTTCCCCTGCCATCTGATCCAACTCACCACCAGGTGGTGATCAGTTGACAGCTCCGCTCCTTTCTTCACTCGGGTGTCCAAAACATACAGCCGCAGGTCAGATGATACGACTACAAAGTCTATCACCGACCTAGGCTGCCCTGGTACCAAGTGTACCGATGGGCATCCTTATGTTCGAACATGGTGTTCATTATAGCCAAACTGCGGCTTGCACAGAAGTCCAATAACGAAACACCACTCGAGTTCAGTCACACCCCTCCAGGTCAAGCTGTCATTGCCCACGTGAGCATTGAAGTCCCTCAGCAGGACAATGGAGTTCTGCTCACTATAAGAGTAGCTTCAGATATTAAATAAATAAATATAATGATCTAACGAAAATTAATTGAACCGAGCTCCCAAAACACTGAACTGAACCGAATATGATTTAGCGTACCGTTACACCCCTATTTAACACATTTAGTCATTTCTAGTCAGGAGACTCCAGACAGGTCAGAACTTCACTCCATGATGCTCTGAGCATTTATCCACAGATACGAGAGGAACAAGCAAGTGAATTGTGGGTACTTTTGACCCCCATCCACATCTACACCTCTACATACATGACCGCGTGCCGTATGAAGACACGTTTCTTTGGTTTTATTCACTCAATCATCTGACTTTTGTCTATCATACAATCTTCATCCTTGTCCTGCTGCACATGGATGATTTTGAAACTAATAAAACCCAAGGTTTACGGTAAATATTGTACTTTACCATTCATACTTAGACAATTCCTGTGTTATTGCTTTTTGCATTTGATATTTTATTATTATCTTGCATCCGTGTATCAAAAAAAATGGGCTGGTTTTGGTTTTTCAAATTAAAGCAGCAAAATGTTTTTTTTCTTCCGTTAGGGTGAGGTGCGGCAGTTTTTAAAGATTTTGATTCCATCACCTCAAGAGAGTTTGTGACTGAAACAGTTCAAATAAATGTGAATCACAAGTTTGCATGCGGGGAGTTTAGCATCTCCGAAACGTTTGGTTTTCTCAGAGTTTGAACGTTTAGAAAAAATAAACAAAAAACCTGAAATAAATGAAATAACAGAAAATGATGTCAGACGGCCTGT